ACAGTATTGTCTTTCATTTTATTTCACATTCAAATAATAAGCAAAGGTATTGCTGAATCAGCAAATCATTCCCGCTGTAATTACCTGTAAACCATAGTAATAGAAACATCAAAAGCAAGCAAAGTAAACTCACAGGCTAAAAATAACAATAGCACTTACCAATCACATCAAACCTCACCCTCTTAAACCACATTGTAGTCCTTGTGCCAAGCAAGTACCAGTAAAAAGTATGAATGTGACATACTAACTAATAATGATAATGGTAGCATCTACAATATTTCTGATTGGATCATACATGCATGTGCATGCATGCATTATAGACATAATATTGCTTACTAATGCTATCCTTAGTTAAGATACTTTCATGACCTGCTTAATATAAAATATCATTGTGTGCATAAAGTATTTCCAATGTGCAAACAATATTTTTTCGTTAATGAGAACATGCACGTTACAACAATCATCAATAAGAGATGCGCAAAATCAGCTGGCAAGCATTTATTTTGTGCACAGCTTTGATGGCAGCATCATTCAAATGCGCAACATCAGCCGGCAAGCATTAACTTAATAATGCGCACAGCATTGATGGCAGCATTATGTGCAACATCAGCTGGCAAGCATTTACATATATGTAATGCGCACAGCATTGATGGCAGCATTAACATGCATGATGATCCTTATTATATGCACAGAATTACTGCTTGAATAATACTAAATGTAAAATAACGAAATTTAATGTTACTAAAAAAATTTTCTTGTCAGGACTTCACAATTTTTTATGGGGTCCGGGATCGATAAGCACCTGTTATTTGTAATAAATATGTACTACAAGCCACAAACAAGATCCAGATTTGATAATGACAGCTTCCTCTCTTCCTAACCCTCTGTCCTACATAAATAATAGTCACACAAATTTGAATCAATGCAAAACTGTAATGAACACCAAACCTCTTTCACACCCTCTCCTTGTCCATTATAGCAACAAGTAATCAATATTCACTGTAATACATTGATTAATCTCACATCCTGAATGCAGTTTGATCCCTTGATACTGAGCAATACTGGGTGAATATGCACCAATGGTTTTCAGACTCACACATCATTCACATTGCACATGCAGTGACATATAAGTCACATTAAACAACCAATGTTTTTAAGATGATGGACCTCCCATACACCATACCCACTTTCCATCAACAATCAATGCTTAAGAAATAGGAATAGATCTAACTGCTTGGAAATGATTAGTACCAACATGCTTTAAATACAAAGCAGGTGTATTAGTATCACAAGGAATGCCATATAATTCCAGGGTACCATATCTAGCCCAGCCAACAAAAGTAGGAGTAAGTGAATATGAATATATGGTTGTACCTATTATTGCAGATAATGTAATAATCTCTGTCTCAGTAGCCCACACACAATTTCTATACATTTTGGACTTATTTATGTAATCATATATGCTTGAATATCTGGTTGCATTTAACATACTGTTAAACAATTCTTCAAAGTTTGGCATATTACTAACAATTGCTTTACGTAATTCGTAATGCTGAGAAATTGACCAAGTGATGAGACATGAAAGGGCATAAAATACACAGTTCCCATCACCAGGGACATCAAGAGTACTATTAGGAACTCTTTCATCTGACAACAGTGTTTTTGGACTACCAGGTAAGATTCCAGCAGCTGTGACAAATTTGAGATTTAAAATCTCACACCACCTTCTTTGATATTCTTCATTACCATTTAATGTACGTACACGAGACAATGCAACATATGCCATACCATCCCAAAAAACATCAGTCGATAAATCAATAATGGCTGTATCTAGTGAGAGGCCCTGACATTTATGTATGGTAATAGCATAAGAAAGTATGAGGAGAAACTGTTTCCTATGTATATACAAATTCTTAGATAGCATAAATCTAGATGTAACCCTTTCTTTGTCACAAGGTACATCAATTATGATCAAATTTGATTGATATACGTGTAGCATAAATACCCATTACTGTACCAATGGCACCATAAACTAATCCTACAGTCACATCAATATTGCATCTTAACATTACTCTACAGCCTACTGCTAAAGACAATACAGTTTCTAAACCAGCTGTTTTGCTTGGTTGATCTTTTAGTTTCTCTAATTTTTTTTCTTGTTATTTGTCAAATTTTGCTGTGCTGCCACTTTCATCATCAACACATGCTAATTCTATTTTCTCAGTTTCTAGACTTTCTAACATTAATTCATTGATTTTTTGGCAGGCATCTACCTTAGAAAATAGGCAAATTGGAGGATTTGTTCCTTCACTTTCCAATACCTTATATTTTTCTTGTATTGAAACATTAAATACACGACTTTTATGCGTATCAATAGTATCATCAGTCAGACAGCCATGCCTAACAGAATCAAGCATCTTAAAAAAGTTTCGTCTCCCTTTTGTCGCTCATTGATTGTTAGTTCATCATATTCTACTGTTTCTTTCCATATGTTAACTGCATTTGCTGCTCCAAGTCTAGTTTTTACTAGTTTGTTGCTAATTTTATTAAATACTGGCCTACCATTAATTGGTGGCAATTGTAAGAGGTCACCTACAAATAAAATATTTTTGAATCCAAACCATTCATCAGTTCCTAATATATCTTCTAAGCGCATGTGTAAGCATGCTAGATTTAGATTGGATACCATAGATACCTCGTCCACTATTATAATTTTTAAATTTTTAAGTGTTATTTTTATTCTCTTCTGAGCTTCTTTACTCAAAGCCCAATATCCAGCTGTCTTTCCCTCATGCTCTATTGGTAGCTGAAATAATCTATGTATTGTTTGTCCACCTAATTAAATGCAGCTATACCTGTTGGTGCTACTATAGCACACATAATTTCACAACTTTTTGGATGCCATATGTCATCCACTAGGCATTTTATTGCCTCTATCAAAAACGATTTACCAGTTCCATCTACACCACTAATTAACATTCTTAGCGGTTTGATATTATCTAATCTAAGTAGTCTGAAGACTCATTCCTAATACGTCTTCACGTTCTCTTTGACTTATAAGATGACTCTTAATTTTATCGAAAATTCTTTCTTGATCCACATTAAGCATTGCCTCTCTTTGCTCTAATGTTAAATTTGGTACATTTATGTGCATGTCAGCAATATGAGCTACTGCTTTCATTATTTCACCCAGTAATTGAGGCTCATCATCTTCCTTGTTATCAGGAAGTTCTTCAGTGAAACTGGCTTTATTTCTTGCATCGACTATTTTATTCCAATTACGTCCAGCTTCTAATAATTTCTGTAGTTTGTTGAAATGATTTTCAATGCCACGTATTGATGCTTCTCTGTGACGCCTTAAAGCTTCTTCCATTGTTTCTCCTGCCATTACAAGTGTGCTCTCATCTCTAAAAGGCACAAATAAAAATATTGGCAAGTAATAAAAATCGTCTCTTTCCGCTTCTTGCATAGGATTAAATTTCCTATGGTTTGGAAGGACTGGCTTTGATCGAAGTTTGTATTCTCTTTCTCTATTGTCTCGTATTTTATCAAGTTTGTAAATGGCAACAAATTCATAAAGAGATACATCTTCCATGTTATTCGGTCTTGTTGGATAAAAGTCTTTAATTATGCTAGGATTAAAGATGTCTTTCGAATATTGATCCGTTTTAGTTAAATATGAATAGTTTTTGATTTT